TGATTCCATGCGTCTTATTGTGACCGCATTGTTCCTCAGACATCAGCTTCGACCACAGGACAAACACGACGAAGATAGTACAGATATCCCGCTTTTTGAAGGACGAGAATTCAGAGAAGCAGCCTCCAAAGCAGGAAGGCCCCAGGGTCTTAAGACATACCAGCAGAAGTCCTGAAAACATCGGCGCGAGAATGCCCGAACTTTCTGCTGAACATGCAAAACACCTGCCTAAGAGATAGCTTCTTCCCTTGGTAATGGAAGGATCAGCAGATGGTTCTGGGTGGGCAAGTGTGGACTGAATCTATCAGTGTTCTACAGGCCTTTCTGTTTGGTCGACACGGCCGAGAAGCTAATTGAAACGTTGCTCAAACCTCGCCTGTTGATGGCGATTCACACTGGCAGAAATCTATCGAAAAGACATTACGCTTTGAGGACTGGACGATCTACAGCAAACGCAGCCAAGTTTGTAATGGAAGCCGTTGAAGATTCAGGACAGGTAAACCGCCGCTCCCGCACAACAGTGCTGTTAGCAGCACTAGACGTGCGGAACTCTTTTAACTCGGGTTGACAGATATCCTGATGGCTCTGGAGAAGACAAGGTAATACGCTACATCCTACGAATCCTCGGCGACAACTTGAATGAGAGGAAACTAGTCTACGACACCGCAGACGGCCCCCGCAACATAGACGTTATGGCGGGAGTAGTAACAGAGCATTACGGGGGAGTAGCTGAAGGACCGATCCTCGGACCACACATATGGAATGTTTTCTACCACAAGATACTTCAGATGGAGATGCCAGGAGACACTGCCCTGATAGTGTGTGCCACCAACATTGCAGCCTTCATCCAGGCACGATGACAGAGCTCCAGGGGAAGCTTAACAAGGGGAGACACGACACAACATGGATGGAGACTCAGCTTGCTTGCCTTCAGTGAGCTTGGCCTTGCTACGGAAAAGACGGAACTCGTCCTTTTAACAAGAAAGAAGATTCCGACACTGATTCCTATGACTGTCGGTACCAATGCCTTGGTCTCGCGTTTTACACCAAATTCACCTTCCGTGATCATATAAGACGGGCAGCGGATAAGGCCTCACAAGTGACTGGAGCACTGATCAAGCTGATGATCAGCGTCGGAGGACCGATACCGAGCAAGCTGCACAGGATGGGGTATTAGGCCAATTTAGGCGGTCAAAGTTTTTTTGCTGTTTAATTGCATCTAAATTTATCACCTTTCTCACTCGTGGTTGTTTAGATGGTATGAAAGTTTTTTATACGAAAAATGATGTTTTGAACTTTTTATTTGTAGATAAATACAACCCCAAGAACAAGCCTCAGTTTAGGTACGCCATATGTTTGAGTGCTGAACGAAATACAAATTATAATATAATATCTTCATTAACAATAACATGAGTAAGCAATAAAATATAAAGATTACAATAAAGTATCAGAAATACATTAACTAATAAAGAAAAAGTGTATACATTTTAAAAAGAAATAATCTACATGCAGATTATACTTATCACTACCGGTATATTTTGCATACTATAACAAAGAAATAGTTTCCTGTTACTGCTTCTAATTATTCCATATTGCCTCCTGGAAAGATAAGCTTCAACAAACAAAGCTAGTGTACTGAGTGTTGTTTCCCTATCCTCTAAACTAAGATTACGCTTTCTTATATTTCCCAGCTCGTTTTGGAGAACATCTGATTCCTTGACTATTTTAAAAACGTCTCTTTTTTCTGTAACGCCTAATGTCACCCACATAGCATAAGTTAGTAATTCTGAATTTGTAGTTTGTCGTAAATCTTGTTCTTCTCTTCCTTAAAGTTTGAATTTTTCTTTGGACTGCCTGGGCGGTTCACTGCTTTAATTATTTCGAATGTGCCATTGAGCCAATCACAACTTTTTAACAAACACATCTTTCTTATGTGCTACGTATCACCTTCGTTTCAAATCTGATTTAAAACACAAAAATGTATGCTTTATTTCCTTTATTTGTTCGTCAGAATAATTTTCTTTGTGTAACAAGTAATTTTCTATAAATTCCAATTTTTTGTAATCTTGTAATTTTTGTTGATGCAAAATGTCGAATAATTTTCTTTGAAACATTATATTGGTCCTATGGAATATTATAGGAAATATTATAGGAATGTCCTATAATGAAATTTGAAGGAAATTCAAAAGTAAATAAACTCGTGCCAAAAAATTCGTAAATTGGATTCGCACATAAATAGCTGTATATCATTCAAAAAATTGAAAAGCTCTATCAGCTAAATAACTAAAATCTGTAGGAAAATATACATAACGTGTGCACACTTACCTGCTTAATTAGTCTCCATGGCTCTTAACTTCAAAATTGAACCTCAGTAGACGCAATTCACTGTAGGGGGGTCAAGAACGAACAGGTGCGCTTCACGAGTTGGCAAGTTCAGATAATGTGCGCCTAAATCAGCTATGCCCCACTGTGCGGTGTCTACTCATCTTAGTAGAGCAATCCATTATGCTCTACGGATCGGAGATACGTACAGACGCACACGCAAGGGAACATCACAGGCAACGCTTGAGTGCGGTTCAGAGGAAAGGAGAACTGAGAATTGCCTGCTCCTATAGAAGTGTCTCAGAACCTGCAGTACTGGTAGTAGCTGGAGTCATACCCATACACCTTGTTCCTCAGGAAAGGAAACTCATTCACCAGACGAAGACCGAACTGAGAAGCAAACGGGCCCATACAGAAGCCAGAGACCTCACAAAGAAACACTGGCAGAACAACTGGGAAAATCCAAGCAGGGGAAGATGGACAGACTGCAGATAGCTCATTGGGCCGGGCGTAAGCACGGTGAAGTCTCATTTTATCTAACGCAGTTCCTCAACGGTTACGGATATTTCCGCAAATACCTCCACCGGATGAGGAAAGTAAAAAGTGGGGAATGCGTGTACTGCCATGCATAAATATGACTCTGAGCACACATTCTCTGTCTGCGAGAGATGGGCTGCTGACAGGTCACGAGAACCGTGGAGCGTTGGAGCCATAACTCCTGATATCATTGTGATGGTGCTTACCAGCGAAGTAAGTTGGGGCGAGATATCTACCTACGCGGAAAAGCACCAAGAAACTAGAAGCAATTACAGGGCAATGGCCACTTGAATGGGTAAAAAGATGACACAATACGATGAGATAAGCTCCCGAGGGCAAACGACAAGACGCCATTCCGAAATAATGGGAAAGCCGTCCCGGGATGGTTCCCATGTTCCCAGAAAAAAAAAGGGTTCGGGGTATTACTGGGTGAGAGTCCCACACTACTCAGAAGTGCGCACCCTCCTCAGTGGTCATAAGAATTTCCAGTTCGGGCCAGAAGATCGCGGGTTCGAGCCTCTCGAGCTTGGGTGTATTTGTGTATGTATGAGAGAGTCGTCCTGACCACACTGATCTTCGGCTACGCCGAAACAAAATGTTTCGTCCTTTCACCCCTCATTATCATCATTTCATTGTCCATACTCCCAAGGCTTTCTAACAACCCTAGGGAATAAAAATCGGACTCAGCTAAATGCTGATCTCCAATTAAAGTTACATGCACCTGCAACCGCGATAATGATATTGAGCTCCGGTAAATGCAGGGTGCATGCATGTATGGTCCTATCCGCGAGCAAAATAATAATAATAATAATAATAATAATAATAATAATAATAATAATAATAATAATAATAATAATTCTTTCTTCATTAGGGTCATCTAGAGAAGACACAATTTGAACACTTCCTTTTAAGTTGTTCTTTCTTCTTTCTCCAGTACTCCTCTCTTCGGACCATTTTGCACCAGATTTCTTCTCCTTCCTTCCTTGGTACCCTTCCATATTTTGCAATTAATTTTTAAAAATATCTCTCTCCATTGCATCTTTAATATTGTTCCTTTCCATATCTTTTTTAACTTCCTGAACCCAGATTATGGAAGATTTCTTATTCCAAAGATATATGATTTTTTCTGTTAGATTTTTATCATCTATCCTGAATAAGTGTCCTAAAAAGAACAATCTTCTCTTCCGAATTGTATCTGTTATATTTTCTATGTTGTGGTATTTTTAATCATTGCTTCTTAATTTTCAAAATTCTGTAGTATTGCGCAAATCAAGTATTTTACTTATGATTCTTCTTGCTAATGCTTCTAATTTCTCAAATTTGTAATTAAATACAAGACCTGCACTTGCATAGATTGTGGTTGTATTGCATTGCTGTATTTTGAGTTATCTTGATAGACATTTCTTGTTGACGTTGCTGGTGATACCATAGGCTCTTTCCATCTTATGTATCCTTTCTTCTATAGCATTTTCAATACCATTTTCTTGAATGATTTCCCCCAAATATTTGAACTTCTTCACCCTCTTTACTGGAGCAATTTCTTTTTCTAGGATTTCGGGAGCATTTTTTATACTCGTCATAATTTTCTTTTTTCTACAGCAATTCTTAAACCTGTTTTGTTGGCTATCTTTTCTTATAGACTAACTTCTGCTGCTGTTAAGTTTTCTGAAAGTATGGCAAAATCATCTGCAAATGTTATACAGTTTATTTTATTATATTACTATTATTATTTATTATTTCATTATATTATTATTACTACTTTTGTACAACACACATTTCTGAATTTTTTCCCTTTTTGTGTAAAAAATATAATTAAAAGGTCTGGGCTAACTGTACGAAACAGTGAGTTGATTCAAAAAAGACAGGTGCTTAAAAATAATTTGATGTGCTCATTTGAAGCTACTTTTCTTCTAGAATTTATTAGTCATGCACCATTTAAATTTATCCTATAAATATTACTTAGAAAATAACCTCAGTGCCTTTTACAAATTTATCTACTGTGATACACTAAGAACTTTAATTAATTTATAAAAGAATAAAATCATGATTAAATTGAGAACAACCAACATCTGTTCGTCTACTCATTATTAGGCTAGTTAATTTTAACAAAATCAAAACTGGAAGTTATTTGATTAACTCACTCTGTATGTTGATAATTTGGACTTCGAATCCACAAAAGAACTTCCAAGAAATCTTTTGGTGCATAAACTGGTCGATATTGACTAAGATCTGGGAAATGGAGAGAAGTCAGTAAAATGTATTCAAAACCGCTGAATGAAGAGTAATCTCATAGTTATTTCATTAGTTTTTTGATAAGGTATCAATAAACCTACTAACCTACGTCATAAGTGCTCAATTCCGTCCACTTGTCTAGTATTTCATCTCGATCAGATGCAAGGCGATAACGAGCAAGAGGTACTCCAATTTCATTACACATAGAATTCAAAGACTTTTGTATTCGTTTCTCCCACTGCATCTAATATTCATTACATATTTTTAACATACTGTTGTAGATTCTGAGGTACATGAATTCAATAGTTGCTTTCACTAATTTATACCCAATAACTAGGGTGCAAACCGTCATGGATGAATTGCCTTGAATTGTCCCCCCTAGAGTTTTATATCCCCTGCTGGAAAAGTAATAACTTGTCTCTGCCATGCATACAATCAATTCATATTTAGGTGTCTCATTTATGATTTCCACACTTTGAAATAATCAAATTAAGGACATTTGAAAAGCTAACTGCCCCAAGAGCATACACCTGCCAAAACCATCCTTTCTTTACATTCTTGTTACAAATTTTTAATAAAACATTAAAATTTGGATGCTTGAATCACTGACTAATATATAATGATGCACAACACATCATTATATATTAAAAACTTCCAAGTAATAATAGTTTTACTTTATGTTTGAAGCTATTGTGAAACATACGAGAGAAATTTGGATTTTCATTCAATCTGTTCTGTTGTGTACTAACATTTGCTTAATTAAAAGTAAAATAATGACAAAGTTTAACTTTCTCAAATTCTGTCTTTTCCTATAAATTATCAGTCACACACATCAATTAAGAAATTTTAGATCACCTCATCACCTGTGCTTTTCTTAAATAACCCAAGGGTTCTTTAGCAGGATATCCATTTATACTTTCAATATTATTATGAGATCGAATCCAATGAAAAACAGTATTCCGCAGATCTGTTTCCATTCCAGCTTTCTTCATTGCTTCAAGCAATGTTTCTTTGAACTGATTTTTTTTCACATCTGGCGATGAGACCATTCTCTGCATTGTCACAAAAACTCCATTAATAAACATTGCAAAAATAAGTCTACTATCCAACTAAAATATTCAAGGTACTCTAAACCTACAGAACTCTGCACTCCAGATAATAAATATCAAACTAAATTTTTCCTAAAGACTTATAGAAACATGCTATCAAGATAGTTCTGTAATAACAATGTTTCAAGAGTAATTGCTCAAGATGTTACAAGAATTTAAAATGTATAATATCTGCAATATGGCATATCTATTGCATTTACTTAAAAATCCACTAAGAGAAATAAACTGAAATTTGCCAAACGACAAGGTAGTTTGTACTAATTATCATATAATGATCAGTCAAGTAGCACACAATTTTTATAAAATGTTAGAAATACAAAAAATTCACTACACATTCTTTGTAACTTCAATGTGAAAAATTTATTTTAAGCTTAAACAAAAAATGAATTTTAACTTTGTGATTTAATAAATATATTTACTTTAGAGTGGAAATTAACATCTGTTAAAGTTTGTTCAAAATTTTCTAGATAAAATCTCAAAGACCATGCAGATATGATACATACAAGATTCAAATTCAAAAATATATTTCCTTCCTCAGAATTTTCCATAAAAATTTTTCAGGGGAGTTGTTTAATATTTAAAATATTCGCAATAACATACCAGTCTCTCATTATATTTATTCATTTTTTTTTCATAAGTTTAATAAATGTAAATAATGTAATATGAAAAAGAGCATGCATTTGTACACAGCAAGAGGGAGCAAGAAATCTAACCACACAACCCCTTAGATTTTTTAATAATAAGAGGGCAGCGTCATAATGAAATCAAAAAATATATTAAAACTACATTCTTCATAACAATCCAAACTAAAAAAAATAAAATTGAAAAGAATCAATGTTGAAATTCATCTTCTTTGCCTTTCCAGAATCACTACTAAACTCACCCAGGTAAAACAATAGATTCTATAATGTAACCTTTGTTTTATTGTTTTTAATACATCATTAGATCACCTCTATACAATTTTGAATTCCCCTTTCTCACTATAACAATGCAAGAATCTTTGTAACAGTTAACAATTCTCTCCAGTAATTTAAAAATTTGATTCTGAATGAATAGGCTATTTCACAAACTTTTTCATCAAATGAATTAAACGTTGTATCAAAAGTAATAAGCAAACATTTGTATTAAATTTACATGAGTCACAAATGATAGTTGTTGCATTTATGATGATAAAATTTTAAATATGAAAATAGCATACGAAAATACACTATCAGATATAATTCTATGACACTCACAATACAAATAACCAACAGAAACGACTATATAAACAAACCTGAATATCACAAAAGAAATTGTTGTAAAGGGACATGTTTTGAATTTCATCTGCAAGCTTCTGGGCAGTGTGATGTATATTTTTATCTTTCATGTCATCCATGATTGCGTTAAAAAGATAAATACAATGAACTGGCAAATCACATTGTTACTTCGCATCACTTAACAAGAAGGAAACAATAACACGAGATCAACAACGCAATCAATAATTTCTCTTCGCGCCAATCAATGGTGCCGCTGTGTACCACGAAGTATGTCCAGGATGACCACACGCTCAACGTTTACAAGAGGGGGATAAAGTGACCAATGTTTCGAAAATGTTTCTCACAATGTCATTTTATATTAGAATTTCACAGTTTATAATCACATAAAACACAATATTTTATTAGTATTACCTCAATGATCTTCCTAAAAATGCAAATTTCAATGATACCTTGTTTTGTATTTAAGTCTACAAGTTGGCGTAACTCGACTTTGCATGGCGGTTGAATGTGAACCTATGTTTCCTAACAAATTCTATGCATACTGCCATTCACAATTATTGAGCATAGGTGTGGGAGGAGGCGTACCTTTTGTACCTTCTCCTTTCTTGGTCAGGTGACTACAGATGTCTGCGTTTGTCTTCCAATGTATGAATAGTAGATGTAGAGATGAGGGTGAATAATGATGAGAGATGAATGATTATGAATGGAATGATGGTTCAAACGAGATTCATAGTGATATGAGACGCTAATCGCGTCCCAATCCATGTCTAAAACTGCTGTTTTAAAACTAAAAGGCTTACCTCAATTTTTTTCTTTTCTTTTTCTTTTTTTCTTTTTTCTTTCCCAGTCATGCTTGTGAGGTCTCGGACTTCCTTCCTAACCAAGAGCTCAGTATCTTATTTAGAAATGCTGTAAAATCACTAAAGCAATAAGACGTTTATTTTGTTCAGAATTAAAGTGCATTTACTAAAACATTCATAGCCAAAACGTTTAAGATCGTTGTTACACCTCTTAGCCTTCGGAGGGCACTATATGGAAGGTGAGATATACCTTACAAGGTGAGATATACCTGTGTGAGGAACACAGTCTTTGGTTCCGTGTATTTCGATATGCTAATAAGTTCATACGCCTCTGAGGAAGTCGTATAGTGTAATAAGTGGCACCGGCAAAGGTGACTCAGTGCATTAACTGATATCACTCCAGGTCCTCGGACCGAGATGTCCTAGGGTTCGAGTCCTGACGGTGACAGGATTTTCGACACTAGCTTCGTAGGTATGTTGAATACAGTAGTTGTCTGAATGAAAATCCTAGTGGCCGGCTGATCTCATTTGGTAGTTTTCCGTGGTTACTCCGATCAATACCAGACAAATGCCGGAGGAATACCCTAACGCACATTCACGCGCACTACACTATCATATTTATCGGGAGCTTAGAGCTTGAACCGGCTGGGGTGGCGCTCCGCTGGTGAGAGGTACCTGGTTTTGGAAAAATGCCCACAAGCTAACGTAGGTCGGCTGCACTAGTGGGACTAATGACCGTATCAGTTGATGCGCCCGGAATCACTAATCAATATAACTAGTGTCAATGCGCGGCATATAGAAACTTATCTTCTAAGTGTTGATACTCAACAACTACTCACATTTTTAAGGGAATGCATGACGTCATTTAAACATGTAAAGTTGAGGGATATATGGTAGGGTTAAAATGTTTTACGTGTACGTAAGGTGCGAAAAATATTTGTACATTTCAATTTTCAAAATTTCTGTTTTTTATTGAAAATCGTAACTATACCATATCTATAAATACCCTTCCCTCTTCTCAAGCAAACGATGTAAGAAAATAATATGCTGTCATTTTGCAGAAACTTTGGTAAGTGCCACAGGGACTTAATGTAAAGTAAAATTAAAATACCATAACGATTCCTGGAACGGGACAACTAATGATTCCTCCTGACTCGGTTACTAAGTTCCATCTCAAAACTGAATCTGACAGTCTGACGTATTAACAACCACCCCGCATTTTCAAAACAATCGTAGCATTTCTCGTTGCACTCTGGCGTGTTCAGTTCATGCCCACAGTTGGTACGTCATAGCCCTCCTCTCCCCGCACCTCACGCTACGGAACATCAAGAAACCTTGCGCGTGTAGTATACCATTCCGATTTTCCAGAACAAAATTGCACACTAGCCATCTGCATAATTCAAACAGCTATAATAGGCAGTATTACTAACATGTGTGCTCCAAATCACCTTGAAGATAACTCGTAAACATATAGTTCCTTACGCAGTGAAGTACGAGTATCTGCTGTTGTAGCACTCGTGGTGCAACAACAGCAGATTCTTTCTCGCATTATTTCTAACTACCAGTCCAATCTCTTTTGCCGCATCAATCATGCTTGATCCCGCTTCCCGGAACGTCGTTATAGTTTCCCGGCAATCACAATATCATCCGCGTAGGCCAAGGGTTGTACCGATTTCCTCATTATCGTATCTGTAACTACGATACCAGAAATACGTATTGCTTTTTCTAAAGCTACGTTAAAGAGTAAGCATGACAATGCATCCCCTGTCTCAATCCCTGTGCGCTGTCAGAAGGAATGAATATCCATCTAGTTACTTTCACTCTGCACTGTACTAGTCAAATAGTTGCCTTTACCAAACTGATACGTTTCTTTGGGATGCCAAACTCTTCCATGGCCTCAATTAGTTTCTCCCTATTAATATTATCATATGCTGCTTTGAAAGCAATCAATTAATCACTAATTGGTGCTCAAACTATATCCAACTATTCAAAGATTTTCATCGTATCTGCTGCTTTACCACCCACCCCCGGTGATTTGGAATTAATCAATTTTCTGATAGCATTTAATAGTTCATTCACATCTGCAATATGTTATTTTAACAGGCAAAGAAGAGGGGCAAAGTTTTTGAGAAAACACCAACTACAAAACACTTTTTCAGTATATCAAAGACCCACAAATCGTGAATTTCGTTTCTACTACATTAAGGAAAATAAAATTATATGACATTTGCTTATGTATTTACATCACAATTATAATCCTCTTGTCACAAGGATGTTCAGTATGAGTGACTCGCAAAAGTTTTTTGAAATTATTGGCACTTTTTCCTGCAGGATTACATATTTTCCTCTTATTAAGTAGTAGTTAATAAGAAAGTAACTAGAGGTGGTACAACAGCACATACAATAGACTCCGGTTATAGTGAACTTCCAGGGACTAACATTGTTGGTTCACTTTATCCGTTAAACAGAATTTATCCATAACGATTGATTTTATTACTTAAGAGATATAGCAAAATACACTAACAGCACGAGCTGAAAATTTCAACATCTTTATTTGTCCTTAAAAAATCAATTTCTTTTTAATCGTTTGCTTCGTACGTTTTCATTAGTAATTTCTCTAGATCCTTCTCCACAGTTCGTGCTCTCTCTATAATTGATTTTGCATTGCAGTCTTGACATCCTTCAATGACTCTTACACAGTTGGAATAACGTCCCATCTCCGAAGGCCCTTTTATTCGCCTAATTCTATGTGAGGTACTTTCGGTAGCAGGATGGCGCAAGCACCCAATGAAACTAATCGCTTTTCCGCACGTCACGGCGGATATCGCCAGGCTGTGGCAGCGCGTGCTTCCTGTCGCCTACGTAGAACTCAACGCGCTTTGACCCGGAATATCAAGTAACACCAAGATTGATACTGAAGTAAGCGATCGCGCATTGCCGTCGACAGTTGTAGACCACGCAGGACACGGCCTTTGTTTCCGCAGTGAAACTTGAGTGGCATAAGGTCATCAGTATGGAGCCCATTCCCGGTCCCCTACCTTCACCCCAGAAGACACTACTTCTATTATAGCCTTTGGGCGACATTTTTTCAAGCTGCCTAGTGTTGGAATTTTTGGCACCGAGGCGATATATTCTTTTCCAAAATAAAGCACATAAGAACATTGAGATAGAATATTATTTAAATACATGTTAATGTATACATAATTTACACTGGGTGACTAAAAAATATTCTGGTGTAGTATTATAGGTGTACAACTTCCTTATCATCAGTTGATTTGAATTGTATTCTGTTCATGAACTCTGGTGTACCTTTAGAGATTTATGCACTATACGTCTTTACTAAAAGTCTTAGGCATGATAACAGGGATGACTGATATCTCTTATTACACACATTACATACAGTGATATTACTCACTTAAACGTGTAAGAAGATGACTGCAATACTATTTTCTATTTGTCATTTATCTTAGAATCTGGATGGATTAAATGTCACCTCACATTCAAAGAAATAATTGCCAAATTTTTCTTTAGGTAAATTTGCTTCTAACCTTCATAACTTTATCCAGAAACGTTTTCTTCGACACTGATAACTCAAATGACATGTAGATACATTTGCATTAGGCATTCATTGCATTTTCTGGATTGGGAGTATCAATGACATCAATGATTTTGTGATTCAATGTCATTGGTGTTGCTTTATTCTTTGTTGTACATTAGTAAATTGATCTTATTTATAATTGAGATGGCAGCAATTACTAGTGTCATATGAATGGGTTAAAACCAAAATGGTACAAATAACATTTTATAAATTCTGAGAAAAATGTGTTTACTTGAGGCTATATGTCAGTTGCAAATTATTTTCTTGGTTTTAATGAACAATTCAGATGTTATGGTTTTAAAGATAAAACAAAGTACCATGACTTCACAGTGATATTGAATTAAACAAACAGATTTCTCAGAATTTATAAAATGTCACTTATACTGTTCTGGTTTTCTCCCATTCATATATTGGATTTGGAGACATCTAAAATACAAAGAAAATATTTTAAAAAAGAACACTAAAAATTGTAGTTTGAAAGAATTATCAAAGGTGAAACAAACAGTGAATAAACTACTTCACAAATTGGTGGAATTGCATGGGTGTGAAAAAAAAGGTATATTGAAATGAGTTCTGCACAAAAATTGCCAATATTTTTATTGTCATGAGTGGAGTGATTTTATTGAAAAGTGCTGTGCTGTAACAAATCAAAAACAGAGCACAAACAAATTGTTTCCCTTAGAATACTAAAACCCATAGCATAGAACATATTCTTTCATGTTCATTATTTGCAACTTTTAATATAAATATTCATTCAGCATTGTATTTATTTTTTTGTTAGTGTGGTTATTTCAGATATAGTACATCCAGAACCAGTTTTGTCTAAAAGCCATCACCTAGAAAATTTGTTTACTACTGCTAATTACCCATGTATATCAAAACTTCAATGTTTTACCCCATCCTACCTTTAATTTTATATTAAAAGTTCGCAAAATCATAGAATAAAACAGCAAATCCTACAAATGTGATCGAAAGCATTTCGTTATTATTATTATTCAGTTATTACAAATAATTGAACGAAATCGAGATCATAAAATTTAACAATCGGCTGGTTGACACTTTTGTCGTGGACAAAAAGTGTTAAGTAACCTGTAAAAGAGGAAGGGATTAAAATTATTTCGAACATTTTGTAATGCTAGTACATATTTCGCGGTGCTTAACTTTAACCGTTCTTTGGTTGTAGCATACGTCACGTTTCTTTAAGACCAATAGTAGAACTGATTAGAACAATAAACATTAAATGAGCGTAAGAAAAGGATCGAAACAATCACTTCCAATACCTCATCTGTAAAGTCTGTACAGGTGTTATTTTTGGTCTAAAATGAACAATAATATATTAACAATGTATTTTTATCAATGCCATATGCGAATTGAGCCACATTGCATTTGCCACGATTAATAGTATTTTCTGTAGACTCAGCAGTGGCATATGTTTTCCTGTTGATTGTGGAGCTTCCGATTTATGTTAAAAAATAAAGTAAAATTTTACTGCATTGAAATTTTCGATGCTGCGTGTTGACAATAAACATCAGCTAAAAAGCATGTGAATAATTGAAACACGAATGGCTAGAGGAAGCAATTTCGTGACACGTCTGTCGCCTTAGTTCTAGAATTAACCCACGTACTGTCGCAATCCCATTTTATGAGTATAGAAACTCCAACTTACGATTGCATTTCATAGAACATAGATCCGATCATAGCTCACCTACCATAAACTTCGCCATAACAAAAAACTTGATCTGAACTTGGCAGAATTTCTGCCTGTCTTGCGTTCCATTAGTGGGCGGTGGCGCCGGCTAAGAAGTGAGTGGAAATCTACCTTGAATAACAGTTAATTGTTTTTAATCATTGTTATTTACCTGTTATATAAGTATTATCGTTATATTCATCTATAGATTCGTATATTTAGCTGAAAAAGAGTGTGCACAACATTCGATATTTTGAGAACGATCGTGTGTCTTTATGTAGTTAAGAATAGCTTGTTGCCTCAGAAGTCCCGTTTGTCCCTACAAAGTGTGCAACAAAACTTGAAAGGGTATTTACATTTCTAAAATGAATTGTTAATATTTTATTACTATCTTTATGAATGTGCAACCTAGAGTGCTCTTCTGTACTATAACCATCTTAATGTGTTCTGTCACTGAAGTTTGCTGTTCCCTTCTTTTGAATGTGCTTACTGAAATAAGATGTGTCACTTTTGGAATATGATTTTCATGTGTAGCAAATTCATGGCTATTTCTCTTCTATATACTGCTTTGCTTCAGATACTTTTCTGTTTGCTCAGAGAGGAGGGGCATGTTGATTTTCGCTAGTTGTTTGAATTATTTAATTACAAAAATAATCTTTGTCAGGGCATGTGTTCTATGGGGAAAACATTCAAAAAGTCCTGAAAATAATTTATATCTTAATTTGATTGTAGTTCAAATTTTAAACCACCTTTCTCATCACAGGTAAATAATGGGCTCTGATCAACAATTCTGCCTGCAGTGGCATAATTATCAGAGTAGTCTGTTGGCTTCACTACCTCAGTTATTAGATAGTGATGATTTAACAGATGTCACTCTATCTGCTGGTGGACGAAATATAAAAGCACACAGGGTGATATTGTCTGCATGTAGCCAATACTTCAAAGATCTATTTAAGGTACTGCTTTGTAATATAATTTTTAATAATGCTTTTAATCAACGTATTGATATTTCAGGCACTGCAGTGTCAAGGTATTGTTTTTCCATTATTGTTGATAATTTGAGTTTGCTGCTTAAAACTTATTTGACACATATTTATTATCGTATCTTGATAGGTGTTCATGAGGTTTAACACAGTTTATTAAATCGTACATTTGATCACTTCATTATAATTCATACAAAAATAAATATTTATATGTTTATTATTATAATATATTTTTTAATGTAACAATCAATAAAATTGTTTTCTGTTGTAAATAAAAAAAATCATGGTTCAATAATGTGAAAATATAGTATGCTCAAACATATTATTTATGTTTTCATGAATTGGCATGTTTCTTAATTTTGTCCTTTAAAACATGTTTACACATACATTGTTGATGTACGTGTAACTTTCACTTTTGAAAGAATTGTAATTGTAAGGTTATTTCATACAACTGACTACTGTTACAAATGTTACTTTACTTTCTTGATTGATAACTCTCCAGAATGGTACATGCATTTATTTTGGTTTGCATACATTTTGTTTTCAAATATTTCTATTTAATTTATTTTGTTACATTGGTTGCTAACATGTGTCATATTACTAAAATGTTTTCAAAAAAGATTAATGTAGATTATATGAATAGAACTAATTTTAAAGTCTAATTGCAGGAGACATATTCCCTAAGAATATAGCAAGTTACAATATTGAATTAATTACATTTGAACACAAAATAATTATGACTGTGACTCACGCGGACATATTTTACAGATGAATTTAATCATGTCTGTGCTGCAATATAGCCCGCTATCACTAGTCATTACTTAAATGACAAAAAGGAGAATGGTTTAAAATTGAAAACTTGCAGGATATAGTGACTAATATCAAGACTATATCTGAAGTTATTCTGACTGTTTGTTTCTATTTTTATTCAGGTGTTACCACCCATGCAACATCCAGTTATTGTTTTGCCTGGTACTAATTTCACAGATTTATGTGCTCTTGTCACATTTATGTACAGTGGAGAAGTAAACATCTATCAAGAACAATTGCAAGGCATTCTAACTATGGCTGATGCCATGCAAATCAGAGGTTTAGCTGAAGTGAATGGAGTAAGTTCTCATTACTGCAGTTATCATTAGTTTGATATGAAATAATTAATTTACTAAATTAATATACTATATTGTTGTTGTTGTTGTTGTTGTTGTTGTTGTATTGTTTTTTTTGTTACAGGCCGCACAAAATGATATACAAGCTAAGAAAGATGGTCATGGATCTGCAAAACGACCAAGATTATCCACTCATCAAAATTTAATGTTTCCTGTTGTAAATCCTGTTGTAATTGAAACAAGTACAAAAAGACCGTTGTTGGCGGAATCTGTAGACATGTCTGGGAATTTAATGGCAAATTCAAATTTTGAAATCTATGGGGAATCTCGATCCTCATCTAATATACAAAAAAATTCTCAAGAAGAGTTGCATTTTGAAAGTGGAAATAAAAGTGATAGCGCAAAGCTGAAGAGTGCATCAGAAAATCTAGATATTTATATGAATGCTTCCAGAAATGATAAAGGAAGAAAATCAGCTCTATTGCCTGAATCAGATGTAATGCATTATGTGGAAGACACTGCTTACTCATCACCCAATCCTCCACCTATGGGTTCTCCTGGAACATCAGAAGATACAAGAATAAAACTAGAGCCTGAACATCATGATTTTGGAGTGTGTGGTGGAGAAAGTAGTATTAGTCGACAAGCATTGACTGGTTCAACTGGAGAGGGACAAAAACTGCCTGGGTTGGACTGTGAAAATGGCCAAGGTAAGTTTTACTTTTGATGCATCCTTTTCACTTGCCCCCTATCACTTTCAAATTATACCTGGTCTAGTCCCTATTTTGCCAATAGTCCATAACTCTATTTTGTGTTCATGACCCTTCATGTTCAATGAGGTGCCAATACCAAACCACAGAACTTTTTCCTCTAGGCTCATATTTTCATCTAAGGATCAGTCGTTATTCATTTAAATTTGATTAGTGTAATTTTTTAGTTGGATTTGCTTCAACTTCTTATCTAATGTATAGTTTTTCTAAGGAATACACTCCAGAATGTCAGTACTTTGAAAGTGCTTCACCTTTTTGTTGATAATAAAACTACAATGCAAATTTTTTCCTCTATATTCTGTCTGAAACAAACATCTTCAATGTAGATGATCACAATCAAGAGTAATTTGAAGACAACAACAAAAAACTAGAATACTTCAATCTTTAAAGTAGGTTAATGCTGCCTCCCCTGCAGGAAAAAGCTAAATGAATTCATTAAAGACGAGAAAGAAATAATGAAAGAGATAAATTAAAGTTTAAGGAAAGTCAGTGGGTTTGGAATTACAGCAAATTATTGATAGATTTAAGTAAATTGAAGTGTCATAGAGCTTCCAAACTTTGTAAATACATCTTTCAGGCAAATTCATTTTAAAAATGTATTTTTAAACATTTACATGATTTGGTAGTGTTTTGGAGAAATTCATGCATAAACATGTTTCAATGCACATTTTTCAATTAGTACTACATATTTAGATTTTTATTGAGCATATTAAGAACTTTTTTATTACTTTTTGCAGAATTTGGAATATTAAAATTGAAGTATATTTTGTATAAATAGTATATTATTCTTAGATCCTGACAATATATAATTCTCTTTGCTAATTATTATATAACAAATTTTAACCCTCCAGTAACCGTGCTAGATTTGCAAAGGGGGTACACACACTATGAGCAACTGTTGCAAAAAGAATTAACACCAAGTGATGAAGTCACAAAGGAAAATGAAGATAATGGGAAGCTGTAACTCTGTATCACTTAACTGACAATGAGAGGAGAAAATAATCAAGAGGAGACTCTCAATGTTGAATATATTACAGTGTCTTCGGAATTAGTATTTGAAGTTGTTGGTGTGATTATAGTGTTATAAAAGTGTTAAATTTTAAATCCTGATTTGAAATTTCTCTAAAAATGTGAAGAAAATTATTTTAATTAATATTCATTTAAAACATAAGATAATGCAGTATTTGACCTCACATTGGTTCAGATTTCATCTTTGCATGCTGCAATTACATTTGGTGAAATTGAAAGCATTTTCTGCATTCAAAAACATTTGTTTGTGACAAAAGGGTGAATTTAACAGAATAAAATTTAGAACAATTGTTACCAAATTCACTGTTACAAAGGGAAATAAAACAAAAAAATGGTCTAAACTAAAATTTATACCTGTTTTGTAAATTTTATCCCACATCATGTATATTTGACTATTTGATAGTGCATGTTTGCATGCATATTTTAGCATTTTATAGAACATAGAAATCCTGTCTCTAATAATTACACACCTAAACAAAACAAGATGTAAATATACCTTAGTCTAACGTGTTTCATACTAAATAGCCTTATATTTAACAAATTTAATAAACACTGTAAAAGCCATGAGTAGATAAGAAGAAATGCAGACCTCTTTTAAATATCCCCTGGCTCAAGCAAATCTTTGAGATGCTTAGGCCGATGAACAAAGTCCAGTATGCAAGAAGTTAACATAAGTCATACATAAGTCAGTGTTATCAGGTGTTACAAGCAGATGTGAATTGTATTTTACAAACATTAAGGTTTCATAAATTCATGGTAGTGGTAGTATGTAATGTTTTAAAATGTTGTCTACAATAAGTTGTTTTTTTATAAACTTGCATCATTATTCTAATTGCTCTTCTTTGAAGATTAAAAATTGATACATCATGAGGTGAGTTACCTCAGAAAATTTTTCCAGAAGGTGGAGTGAAAGTGAGGAAAATACAATATAAGGGCTGATTCAATTTGCAATGTTTTCCTGATACATCGTAAAGCAAAACAGACATCAGACTTTACTGAAGCTTTTTGATTGGGGTGTTTTTTGGGGTTTAGTATGATTAAGATATACAAATGTACATAAAAAATATTCACATAGGCCAGACATCAAAAGAAGAAATAAAAATTGCAAGGAAAATGTTAAATTTGAGGAGAAGAACCACGTACTGTACTATACACACACACACACACACACGCACACACACACACACTAAAGACTGAACATTTATAAAAAAAACTGTAAATAACTTAGTGCATGGCCATTCATAAAAATTTCATTTCACATTGTTAGTTATTTTGAAATGATTCTTTGTACTTCATCCATCTCCGGGCACCTTTCAATTTAACTATGATCATAAAGTTATAACTTCAATTTTAATAAATTCCCACTTTCACAATCAATCACTCACAACATTGAACTCTGTTATAAAATTAAAAAATTTAATCTAAACAATACATCAGATGTTTCCAATCTTTCAGAACACATTCTCTAGGCAGTGGAAGAGTTCAGAATTAACTTGTGAGAATTCAAATTTTATCCTGAGAATTATTTCACACAACTATCACACTAAAATTTTACACATTCTTGCGATAAGAAAATGACATGATTTTAATCCTGAAAGCCAACATTTCACAATTGCAATATATGATGCTCCTTATTTTGGGTATTACTTTCCTTATTTACAGTCCGTCGATTCAAGTTTTAAAAACGAGAGTCTTGCTGTCACTGGACTTAGTTTTTAAACAGAAGTAATGTAAATCTGCTTCATATTCAACATGGGAAGATAGCCACATAGATTATATAATTCGGAATGCCTCTCAAAAAATTCCTTGCATGAAGTAGATACATCAAAGGATAATGCAATGCTGGATATGATTCCTAGTTCAATACTCTGTCAGAATTTCACAGGAAGCGCAACAACTTTGGACCCTGAGATGAAAATTCACAATGAAAAATGAGAATGTCATGTTTCCTTCTGGACACTGGTCGTGACTTATTTATTTCCACAAATTCCTTGGAGATCTGATCTTGATTAAAAACATTTTCTGCTCCTTTAATATGACCACCGTTGTATTCATACGAATGTCGCCTATCTATTATAGTGTAAGAATCAACAGTCTGATTATAATCACCTTTCAGTAATTTACCTAAGATGTCAGATGAAATAGTTTTCAAATTCTGTTGTTTGCCTTTAATCAATGGTAGAATGAATGGCTTGCTAAAATCTTCAATAAGGTCAGGATCCTGAGAAGATTTTTGCAAGGCTCTTTTAATTGTAGCTTCAGATACAAAAAAGCTATGCTGCATTGACACAGTTAGTTACAGTTTCTAATACGTTTTCCCACTTTTGGCAGAATTGTTTTCAGTAATATTAACCTGGGGATTAATTATTGATCGCTTCAAGCATTGAAGTCCAAACGAATTTCCACATGGGGGTTCAGGTCGTATACATGTTCCAGCACTTTCTGGCTCCCTTTTCTTTCATACTCCAAAAGAATACCTTGGTTTTGATTCCAAAATTATGGGTTTGGGATCGTGATTTCTAAAGGAAGTTCGATTACACTTTTCTTATGTCATCAAACATTGGAATTATTAAATATTTTCCTGTTTCATTTTTCACACACTCATATTAAAAAGAGCAAAATATTAAAATTGCTTTTTAAGAAAAAAATTTGACAAGAGTTCTTGGTCTCTATCAAAGAGTTTTAAGGAAAGTTCCATTAAACTTTTCTTATCCTACGACAAACATGGGACTTATTCAATATTATCCTGTTCAGTTTTTTGGACCTTATCATTAGGAAGAACAAAATATTAAAAGTGCTTTTCTTATTTTGATTGCTGGGCCCGATTGAATATTAGATTACATCTGTAATGTAATAATAAGTATTGTAATAATTTTTTGTTTTAAAGTGTGGTTTCGTACACGAACATTGTTCAATGCAAAGAAAAGCTGGAGGGGATACAACAGCATATACTTTCTCACAATATTGGAAATAATTGTGTAATATTGAAATATTGTGATTTCTACCATACTAAAATCTCAGTTATAACTTCAAAAAGTCCAATTCAGACAAAGTGCCAGCCTGTGCCAGGAACAGTCATTTCTAACTTTTACAAATGAAACGGACATGAATAAATCTAACTATTACGGTATTTGCAGCACATACAGAAAAAAAAGAATATTTCACACAAGCTTGCCTTGATTACATTGAAGTGAGCAAACAATTTCTCAATACCATAATCGGCGAGCAAAACTGCACAAAGCAAAAGAAATGTACTTGTTAGTTCTATGTTAAATACAGTAGGTGGCCAAATTATTAGGGATAATACTCAAATTTGTGTAATTTCTAGTTTAAATCATTTTTTGAGCAAAGGATTTGGTTTCGATAGGATTTATAGTATTACAGTTATCATTTCTATTGTGTATAATAAGTGGCAAGACTGGATGCTTATGTTATTTAAGAAATAAGTGATATTACTTTCATTTATTTGGAGTTTATTGAAACCTTGCTTCTGTAATGAAGACATACAAATTATTTTTTAATTGTCTTTTGCAAGTTTTTCCTTTACATAATCAAAACAAGTATTCTTCCTCAGTGCCTTACTTTTATTAAATTTTTTGGGTGAATTTCATTTTAGTTTACAATGTAACGTCAAAGCCTCGAAATTTTTAATTTTTAGTATGGTAAGGTTTTAGACACGTCTTCAAGGAAAATTATAAAAATATAAACACTATTACTTCACCCCACACAGTGACAGTGATATAGCAACTTTCACAAGTGTTTCGAGAACTATCGTTAACAGAATAAAAATTGATCCGAAATAAACATGGACCACCTGGAATACGAGGCCGTGAGGGTAAATTAGACAGGAAAAGGATAACCAGTTTTTGTACCAATCATAAATCGGGTATTTCTGCTTAAAAATCGCAAAA